GAAAATTTAAACAGAGATAAGCGCCAGCTGATGGCTGAAGAGTAGAATACGTGCAGAAGGAGCATGAATGTGAGTGGGCAAATTTTGAGAGCAAAAATAAATATACTACTCAACATCAACATCTGGGTGAAGCCTGAATAAGCATGGTATAAGAGAGTTTGCGTTTAGTACGCCCACGCAAATTCTAAATTACAGTTTAATGTTATTTTAACATGCAGCGAATCCTAGTGCTTTTGTATTTGTGCGTATAAGAGTAGAAGAGAATGAGATGAATTATAGATTACAGTTCAATGTTGTCTCAACATGCATCGAATCCTCTTCTCTTTGTCAATATGTATGCAATGCATTGCACACATACATATACATATATCATTAACTGCGATTGCGACTGCGCAACGTATTTTGCTTTGTTGGTGGGCCATTGTCGGCGTTTCATATTCGCCTTGTACTCACGTAGGCAAAAAACAAAAGCCACATGGCAATTGATAGACGCTTGCCAGCAGTTCGCGCCAGCCAAAAATGTAAACAAACTGTCAAGTGATCAACGAATATGAATTTGTTTGAATGCTTGAGGTGGTCAAGTGGTCATCCAGCTACCGCAATCTGCTGATTGGCTCTCTCTCTCTCTCATGCTGTCTCTCTTTCTGTTTGCGCCCTGAGGGCAACTATTTGAAGCTGTGATTCAAAGTGTTTTTGAATTTTGTGTATTTATCGTTTTAATTGACCTGTGGCTGGCAATTCAATTATTCAATTAGCCAGTCAGAGCTGACAGCAAAAGCTCGCTTTCCATACAATTCAAAGATCGAAAGCTTTCAAGCGAATTGCCTACACATGCTATAGGAGAGATAAAAACAATAACTGTAAGTCTGACAAGTCAATTGCATGTGTACAGTGGGTAGCATTATTTGATGAATAATAGGTTTGTCTTATATTTCACAAAGCCCTGCCATAAATCAATTAGCATATACTGTTAATTGTTTGATTAGCACGATAGTCATTCAGCAGTTATAAATTATATTATGAGTGAAATATAGTTTTGTTGACATTCTTTTGCTGTATATTTATTAATCAAGTAAAGCTTATATATTAAATATAAAAGAAATTGATATTAATATTGCTGATAACTCTAAATATAAATGAAAAATAAACAAAAAATACATAAAAATAAAAATAAAATAGATAAACTAACATGTTTTCTATTAAACAGATAAGTAGCAATCTACTCCACTGTTTTAAGTGGTATCAAATAAAAAGTTCCCGTTCATCATACAAAAACTCCCTTTTGAAAACGTTTGAGATTTTTTCTCTTATAAATGTGTGCTGCAAGCAGTTATTAATACAAACAAAACGGGATACCAGCAAATGCAGTTATATTTAAGAAATAGCACAATCAGCTGATGTCTGATATTGATTGGTATATATACCTATGTATATATGTATGTATGCAAATCATATGCTACAGGTAAAGCGTCGCTTGACACGTAGAACTGAAAGCCATGGTTAGTTTAGGGAAATAAATTCGCCTCGTGGCAGGGATCGTACGTGTTCATAGTCAGGTTGTCGTATTGAAACCAGACGACAACAGCAATTATTATTTGCTTATGATATAATATGTTTAGACGATAACAAATTTCGATAGATGACTATAGTGGAAATACCCAATATATAAAAGCGAAATTAATTTTATTTTACAAAATATGTTTTAGAGTTTTGCAAACGCAAAAGCAAATGCCAATTGCCAATTAATTTTTGATGGCTTTGAAAACAATTGAACGCACTTTAATGTATGTATACGTATATATAAAGATAGATATTGATATGTCGATATGTACGTACATATATGTATTAATAAGCCCATCAAGTGTTCTCAAATGTGCGAAACGTGCCTCGGCTGCCAGCGATCAAGCAATCAAGCCATCCAGCCATCCAGCCGTATAAGCTTTAAATGGAGAGGGTTTGCAGCTTATATTCCATGGTATTCCCGAATTATGCTCAATGGCAGAGATTATAAGAGAGGGGGTCAGAAGGGGAAGAGTAGAGCAGCGAAGAGTAGGCAAGAAGAGTGCCATGCAAACTGGTTTCACGCTTAACATTGAGCTGCGACTACATAAATTTCAATTGCTAAAGAAACCGCCAAAAAAACCAATTTAAAGTTGTGGGCACAAAATATAATCGTCAACCCGGCATCCAAGGCTCTTCGCAATTGAAGATTACAATGCCTGATGCCAAATGAAAGACACAAGAAACAAGACTTTGGCTGACCTTGACTCTCTAGCTCCCTCTCTCTGCAGCTGGAGAGACAGGCGAATAATGTAATTTCCGCACTGACGTCCAAATATTTATCGTTGTCAACTGTAAAGCGATCCGCAATTTGGCACAAATTTTTAAACAGTTCAATTAAAAACCCATCTGTTTTAATTTAATAACGGGCCCAACTTTTATTATCTTTAAACTTTGATGGTTTGAACTCAACGGAGTTTCTTTTAATTAAATTTTTTGGCCGCTTTGTTTATTTAACCGCAGTCAAACTTCTTGTTTGGCGAATTCGCTGCAACTGAGCTTAGTGAGCGAAGACTGTTAACTTAGCGCCGGCTGTTAACTAACAGGAATCGCGTTATTCACACAACGCCGTGTAAGCTTTTAAAGCTGCATACAACAGTTGTCCGCTATAAAATGCTTATAATTTGAAATTTTAAGCGAAAAGCTTCTCGCTATAAAACTCTTTACGGCGCAGAAATTAACATAAAACTATTTTGAAATTAAAATGTTGACTTTTTACTATGAACGAGAACCTGGTAGTGTTTTAAGAGCTTTCATTAGTGTGAACTTAATCAATGGTTAGTTACCTTATGCCTAGCCCATAATTTATATAGCTAAACAGCAGGGCGTAGTTCAGGAGCAATTTAACATGCGTAAATACCTTATTAGCTGTTGACTAAAACTGAGTTCCTAAAGTTTACGAATTAATTAATTAAAGAACATATGAAAATTACAGTCTTCTAAATCGTATAATGCATTCAAGAATAGAAATATTTATTATCTGTTTATTTTGTGCGGAAATTAGCTTCAAAAAATGATGTGCAAAGTTCTCGGTCTCTCAAAAAAACAAAATGATCACGCTGTGCACTGTAAGCAGTGTTGTCTGGTGCAATGTCGATTGTTATTACCACCGCAGCCTAGGTAGGCCAGTCTTTGGCAGGAACGTGTGTTTTTGTCGTACCACCACATATTCAAATTAGCCCTAGATGCGCATACGCCAAAGCCATAGCCAACGTCTCGGGATCCTATGCAACTCGGATCTAATGCAGAGGGAGAGACAAATCTATATATATATATACAATTATATAAGATATATAATATCCACTGCTTCACTTACTAGAAGTTGCGCCTCGACATTGAGCGTCAGTGTGAATGAAATAGAGAAAAAGGCAAGAAAATGCTAGAAGTAACTTCATTTCGACTTGATTCGAAGGCCAAACTCAACTGAGCTAAGCTAAAACTTGCTGCGCTTATATTGCGCGATTTACTTACTAATCTCTCGGTCTGTCCTGTCAAAAGTGTGTATAATTAATAATCTCTTTAGCTGCTATTTTGCAAAATCACTTTAGCCAAACGCGTAATTGCTTCTCAGAGATTGTATTTATTAAATGTTTCAAAAATAAGATAATTATTCTCCAAGGCCATAGAAATTTATTATAATTGTATAACCAAGAAAGCGACTATGCGTTGTGAAATGGTTTATTATAATATGTAACGATATTCCGATGTAGCTTCATAATAATACTAAACCCGAAATCCCTAGGCGGCTATACACAGAGATCGGAAAGATGGCAAAGATTGGTTCGTTGTGAGATATGGTGAGAGGATTACAATTTTGTAGCAATTACATAAGGGCATAGATGTCACTTTAAAATAAAAGCAGAAACAACTTCATATCTCAAAGCATATTTGTTTTAAAGCCATTTAATTTTCCCATTGCTTACACGCGGTCAGCCCATTTACCATTTCGACGACAAAGCATATTGAATGGTATTGTGACAACTACATGATGAATATCCGATAGTCTTAGACTATCGCCCATGCTTAGAGACTCACGAAGACGAGCTGCGCACAATCGATAACAAATGTTAATATTGATATTTTCTTTTGGCGCCAATTGTTATATATTCAAATGCCGCTGACTGAACTAGAAGACTAAATGAATTATTTAAACATTGAAGTCAGGGGAATTGGTATTAAATATTAAGATATAAATATATTGAGTAAAATATAAATATAAAAACAGTATTTGAATAAGATTAGAGTCCTTACTTAAATGTTAATGAACGGTAAGATTGTGAATTAAAAGCATTATGTAAATGGTTTTTACTGAGCCGATTGGAACTAGTTTAGTACCTCAGTTATAGCTGCTTGACAACACATGGGGCTGCTGATCCGAATTTCGATACTCGACATAAGCTAATCGAAGTATTTCGATTCCATCGATCAGCTGGGCGTCCTCTGAAAGTAAGTGTTTCCATATCAAATATCAAGTTCATAACAATGATTCAAGTTAGGTGCGTGTTAGTTATTCTTAAGGTAATGTAATAATACCAATAATACCAGTACAGCATTTACAGTGGATGCAAGCTAAGTGAGAATGAAACAAGAAAAGACAACACAGGAGCAAATGCAAGGGGTAAAGGGATTAACATAACAAGCAACATTCAAATTAGTGCAAACGAAATTAAATATACCCCAAAAAGTTATTTAAGAAACCAATTGAATAGTTTTTGTTTTTGTTTTACCTAATTCAAGATTTGTGGACCGATCTTATTGGCATCTCGATTCTGATCTTGGAGAGCAATCTCCTCGTCGTTGTCGCTGATATCATCTTCAATGCCCCGAATACTTTTACCATAAAATAATGAGCCCAGTTATAATATATATATATAAAATTCATTTCACTCTTCCACCCTCTCTCTCTCTCTCTCTCTGTCCCTATCCATGTGAGTACTTACCGATTTGAGATAAGCTTCAGAACACTTCGTTTCAACACAAACATTATGAATATTATGAGGCCTTGGGCACAGTTGATGTAGTCGAAGATTTTCAATACATTCGCGGCTGTCTCATTGCTCTGCACCAGGTATGCAATTATCTCGAAGGTCCAGGTAACTCCCATGATAACGAAAAGGCGCACGAACAGAATATAGCTGCGTAGGTAGATAATGAAATCAGGCTTTCTATATATATGACTGGCCTTACGTTTGCTTATTCGTATCGAGTCGCTGTTGGGACTCACTGCGTACCGCAACGGTCTTCAGCTCCTTTTGCACTTGCAGAACGCGGATAGCCTAGGCAAAGTGAAAGTAAAGAAAAATATATTATTATTTATTGAAACTATCTAATAGAAGGCCTAACTAAGACAGATCGTAGCAAGCCAGGAGTTTAGGCACAGAACATAAAATCTTTTCTGCAAACAATGTCTAGGCTGAGCTACTATATTTCCTGGTTATGTCAAGGGAAAACTGTTCTTCTCTCAATTTCAGACTTATGTTAACCTGCAATAGCCTGGTACATTCTGTAACCAGATTGAAAATCGTTATTTATCTATTGAAAATATATATTATCAGATACATACCAGGTATATTTTAACATTCCGCCTGTCAAGCTTTTTTATGGCTCAGAGTTCTTCCTTAGACAAGAGAGAACTTGTAGTTCTTCAAAGATTCCTCCTCTTTAGGCTAGAGAGTTCGTTCTTCCTAGGATTTCAGAGGTCGTCCTTCAAAGGGCTTTCTCCCTTGGCCAAAGCCTTCTTTGTATCGGGAGAGTGCAACTTTTTCTGGGAGACAAGACTTGAGTGAATGACAAGATTCACGCATGACGTTAACCTTTGAGCTTTGCTCATTCATAGAGGGTGCTGGTTTCTACTCTAGTATAACTTGCTTGCTAAGGGCTGTTGAGCTGAAGAGGTGAAGAACTCTGTGCTTGAATATATTCTGATCACCCTGTCTGCGAGCCTCGCTCATGACCCTTGAATCACACAACTGCCTCATCACTACGCTTTTAGAGAAGTATCCATTTAAAGACTAACACTCGAGCTTCTGTCTTTTGGCAAAACTTACAGTGAGTAGGAACATGACGATGTTGAAAAGGATTTGCAGTGCCATCGGACCGTGGAAATAGAGCGCCGCCGACCAATCATGAGCTGTGTGTAGCAAAAAGGACTTGGATAATATCCGCACAGTTGCGAAACTCAATTGATAAATCTTACTCTTAACCCAGCAATTGAAGAGCGCAACTCCAGGCATCCAAAGAATTTGCTCCTCGTCTTCGCTATCCAAGGACATATCGACTAATGTCACGATTACGGTAAGGACGACCGCAACACCCCAGGCATAGAGAGAGTAGAGCAGGAAGCGATACCTGAACGAGCGTCGTGTAACCTGCCAGCTGTTAGTGCGGAAACTGTTCCACAGATCGTAGCTGATCATGGTTAGCCAAAGGAAGCTGGCCATCACAAAATAGTAGCCGACATAGCCTGAATAAGGAGCTTGTGAGATGGATGATCCGTTGATGAGGAGTAAAGCGCTCTACTCACCATTCACCTGACAGAGAGTCTTCGACCAGTCGCCCCTCCAGGAGTCGGCTAAGAGCAATGCATATGCCAGCATCAGGCACATCATGTAGCAGGTGAAGCACAGGCCGTGTAGATTCCTAAGCTTCGGCAGGTAAAGATATACGCAGATTGTAAGGATCAAGCTGACGATGGAAACCAAACGCACTGCAAAGATTCAAAGACACCTTCTGATCAGAGAACAATAATAATCTCCGGTTCACAAGTAGTCTAGAGACTTATCCGATCTGTCAGTGAGCTACCATTTAGATGAACTCTTTTGAGCTCCCTCAGCTTTGTGCTTACGAGTATTAATCAACCATTGACTGGGGGGTAATATGGCGCAATTGTGGGGCACTAGTGTGTACTGCGTTTCGGTGTTCTCTGTGCCAATCTTATGCGGCTGCAGGCAATACTCTTGCTTGGACAACGATTTATTGTCGAAGTGGCGAAGCAGGATTCCGCTCTGTAAATGAGAGGAGAAACGCATGTAGCCATGGCGCAAGGTGTTCCAGTTTCAGTTGCTCTCAAACCTCGAACAGGGTGTATTGATGACTCTCGTCGTTTGCGGCATCCAGATGGAAATGCAATGCACATGGAACCGGCAGATCCCGCTGTATGATAAAGTCCTGCAGAACATGTCTGCTCACCTCGGTGCCATTGTTCAGGGTTATGCTGATAAGCGGATCGAACTCGATTGCTTTCGATATTTCGCCGCTGCACCTGCGTTCGCCCTCAACGAGGTTCAGATTCGGATGGCAACAGAATCGAATACAGGTGCCGAAGTGGCAGGCACAGCCTCTCAAATGCTTGGGCACCGACACCTTCTCGCCCTGCTCCAGCAGCTCATAGTCATATTCCCCAACCTGATTCGCTGGTATGATCACCTTTTCATACTGATACGCGCCGTTCGGCAGCCGCTTGCTCTGCGACAGGCCCACAGTGTCGAAGTAATCGCATCCTGGTATGTCGGCAATTACATTATTGACAATTATATATAATATATCTACGGATATGACAAGGCTTAGCCGCATTCTGTGTGTATGAAATGTCGTCCCGAGTAGTCAACAATCTTGTTCAATCGATTTTCCTATTCTTATGATATTTTCATGTATTTCGATGCCATATGCTTGCGCTCAACAAGGTTCAATGAGTTCTGCGATATAAATAGAAATTTTTATAGATTAGGTGAATGTATGTAGTGCTTATACTCTGTATCTTAAAATGAATTGAAGTGCATTGCACTGGTTGGTTACCTACTACGATTCTTACTGAGACTCAAACTAAAAAGTGGTCAGGGTATTTTTAAGTCGACTACTCCCAGCTGTGCCAGTGGGACTGGCTGCAAGCTGTTCTTAAAATATCCTCACATGCTTTCAATTTAAGTTCAGTTGACAATATGTAAATGAGTTTGCATTTTTACTAAGCTGACAATTACTCCAATAGAATACGTAGATCATATGCTGAATATTTCATCAAAATCCATTCAGTCAAACTTGTTTTGTCGCACATTCCAAATGTTCACCTGATTCACCTGATTTGTATGGACAAGCGTTATCCCATATCGAGTGATTTATGAATCATAAAATGTATTTTTTTAAACTTGGAGCTCTACAATATGCAATTTTTGTCTTCTGCGAATTTTATACCCTGATCCCATTGAAAATGGGAAATGTATGTAACAGGCAGAATGTGGCGCGGCAGACCCCATAAAGTATATATATTTTTGATCAGGACGACAAGCCGAGTCGATTGAGCCCTGTCCGTCTGTCCGTATGTGTGAACGCGTCGATCTTAGCATCTACAAGAACTAGAGACTTGAAATTTTGTAGATCCGAGTAAAGCACGCGCATGTTAAGTTTGTCTCAAATATTCGATAACTATTCGCATTTAATTCTTATCGAATAAAAACATGATTGAAATGCAGTTCGTAAATTATATCTCGAACGTCTTAAGAGCTAGAGCCTCCAAGTGTTTTATGTATATTTTGTGCAATTTTGATTTTGGTTGGATTTTGGATACCGGCTCCAAATTTGCCTTAAATTTTAAGCTTAGTTGAAAATAGGGCCATTATATGACGGCGTTTGCATCTCTACCAAGCCAATAGAATATATAGAACATAGGCTGAAAATTTCATTAAAATCCGCAATTCATATATTAACTTTTTGGCAATTTGTGCAAATTTCTCAACTCATTTCTTTTGTTTACTTTCTGTTATCTTCCAGGCGTTTTATCGCTTTATAAAAAATTCATTGCAAAGTAATTCTCTTGTGCAAAATATGTCTGTGCCTCAGACGCGCGTTAATGCGCTCCAAACACAATGAATTGTGAATCGAATGCCAAGCGGCAGGCAGCTCAGTCGGCGGTAAACACGGACGAAATACGCGTCGGGAGCAAACATATATATATGTGCTCCCGACGCGTACCTCGTACATATAAATATACACATAAATAAACAAATATATATAACATATATATATACAAATATATATACATATATCTATATGTGTGTGAGTGCGTCTGTTATTTGCCAACTACTGGCGTCAGTTAACCTAAATGCACTTACTTGCAGCCGGTGCATGCAACGTGACTCGCCATCGACAGCAAATTGTAGACTGAAACCCGAAGCCAAACGTCGATCTCTTCGCGACTGTTGATCTTTGCTTGGATATGCCGCCAACTAGACTCTCTCGTCTCTTGGCTCTCTGAAAGTTGAATATTTTAGCACACATACAAATATCAGCGCAGCCCCAACGTGCGCAAATCAGAGAGCGGGGTGCGTCGTCCGTCGGGCTCATCAGTGCGAGGTTGGCTACAATCGACGTATCATATCATCATATCATCATATCATCATATCATCATATCATCATATCATCATATCATCATATCATCATATCATCATATCATCATATCATCATATCATCATATCATCATATCATCATATCATCATATCATCATATCATCATATCATCATATCATCATATCATCATATCATCATATCATCATATCATCATATCATCATATCATCAAATCTGCTCAATATCAAAGCACTGTATACGAACATTAAAATCGATATTTACCGTTAACATATGACGCGTTTTCGCAATAACTCGAGCTATTTTTACGTGCACTTCCAGCTTGAAAGCATTTTTAATGGAGACCAGCACGCTGTGCAAACAAATTTGAACAGACAAATGCATACATCCATATAAATGTTAAGAAAGAGAGAGAGAGGGAGAGAGCGAGAGCTTCTGCCGATGTCATTCTTTTTGCGAGCCAAGAGCGTGTGATGTTTGGCTTTATACGCTGAGAACATGAATAACTGTACGCGCTTGTAGTATACATATACAGAGAGAACACTTGCTGCTAAAATGCACGCGCTCTCTTCCTCTCTATCTCTCTCTTTCTCTCTCTGCAAGTAACGTATAACGTAATAGCTGTAGGAATTTGTAGCCAACTCTTGACCCTCTGTTGTCTGTACAGACGCCACTGAAAAGACGATTTGCATTGAATTTGACTTTAACTTTTCGTTTACTTAATTACTTGAGCAGACTCCCTGACACACGCTCGACTGCCCATTTGCACGTCTCCCTCTCTCTCGCTCTTAAGATAACAACTACAACTTCTGCACTATGAAAAGTTCTGTAAATTCATTTAGATAATTTTCTTAGGTATCGGATTAAAGCATTTTAAGATCGATTCTGCTGTCATATGAAATCTATCAACTATATAGTATATGTGTTTCAAGTATAGTATATGGAACATCAAAAATTGGTCATGTATCTAAGTGGCTTTCGTTAGTGTTAGAAATCATTCAAAAGGAAATTCCAGCTCCACAGACATCATTTTAATTACATTCAATTGAATTCCAGGAAACCCACTCACATATTATAAAATATATACAGATTAAAAAAGTTCTTTGTTCTCTCATTTCGCTCGCTCTATCTCTCTCTCTCTCTCTCTCTCTCTCTGCTATTCATATCAGCTTTATTTATTGTGAACATAATAAAAACGGAATGAAAATAATTAAAAGCGCTGCAGTGGTGCGTGACTCTGATCGTAATACTCATGCACAGCACTGGACCTTCAACTGGATAGATGCTAATGTAGTGCGAATCATTTGGGATAAGTCTGCTTTAAGAACTGAAGGACAAACGGGTGGACGGACGGACGAACGGACTGACGGACGGACGGACATTAGACAAAAAAGTAATAATCCCCTAATCACCTCAACGAGCATATATATAGAACACATTGCTTGGGAACTAAATATACATTTAAAAAAATATTTATGTGGTTACACACACATACACACACACGCACACACACACATACACTTGTAGATAATACTACCGGAACCAAAGCTTGGAGATATAAAATTTAATTTCACTTATTTGCTTCGTTACTATGCCAATTTTGAGGAATTTAAGTTTAACTTTCAAGCTACCCACTTAGCTGCAGAGCGTGGCCCAAACACCTTTTTGACATTTTTTAGGCATCGCGTGCAAAGAATTTTGAATTTAATGAGCTCATGACAGTTATAATAGCTCAATTATGTGATTATATGTTAGAGGCGTTAGGAAATTAACTTACTCCTTCCTCTGCTCTTCTCTCCTTCCCACTCCTTCCGACTCCTCCCTACTCCTACTCCTGACTAGGACTTGCTGTGCATTTGCCACAATGGTCAACTAGCTCAGCTAGTTAGGATGGCATTTATGAAAAGCTAATCTGGCCAGCTTAGCTGGTGATATGAATACAGTTGAGTTGCTTTCAATCCCATCAGTATTATAGGTAAAACACAATAAGGATTATAATGCAGATTCCTTAACTTTATTTTCATTTCATTTCATTTCATTTGCTATCATTTACGTATGTCCATCATTCAGTTCCTTCTGCACTTGTTGCGGCAGGCTTGGCGGGTGCAGTAGCGATTGTTGTTGCCGCCGCAGCCCTTGTAGGCCAACTTCTTGCAGGAACGGGATCTGCTGTCGTACCACCACATCTTGGAATTGGCATTCTGACGGCAGGATCGAGTGTTGTTTCGGCCTACGTTTTTGGATCCCACACAAATCGTCAATCTATCCGCTAAGGAAGAAAGTACAGTTAATCGGATTGATAATGGGGGCTGCATCAATTTACTTACGCACTGCACCCTTGCAGGTCCGCTGCGCCTCAAGGGTGGCCACATAGACAGACAGGCAAGCGAGGATCAGAATGAATTTCATGTTGACTCAAGATAAAGTGGTAAATGTTGAACTGATTTAACACTGAACAGCCCAGCGCTTATATACCAAAAGCAACAATGGAGCGGGACGAGAGTCCAGAATTTGTGAAAAGCTGTTTTGGCAACCGACTTCAATGACAACAAAGGCCCTTACACTAACTCCGACCTTCGTCTATATATATATTCTGGCATATTTCTGACTATTCAAGGCGGGTTCTTTATGGGCGAGCACGTGCTCAACTGTGGATTGTGAATTGAATGGAACAGAAAACCTCTCAGCTCTACTTGAACTGGAGACAAGTGTTGCTCTAAGAATTAAAATATATTATGATCATAGAGTATAATATATTATATTATATAAAATATGATAGGAATGCTACCCTCCCACTTATGTCTAGAGTAATCAAATCGAATAGATGGCAGAAAAGGTTTATTCCATTTGCATCGTCATTCGATGAGTCTGATATTATAGCAGACCTTTTCTGCTTTGTCAACAAAAACAACCAGATGTGCGCATGTGAAGCATAAGTATATCCACATATAGACCTTAATTCCAGCTGTAGTAGTAATTCCATTCCGAATTTCAGTAAGCTCCTCTCCACGCCTCTCTTCTGCTCTCAGGATCTCTCCTCTCCTCTAGGATCTGCTGTACATTTGCCTAAGCACAGCCACAATGGAATAGGACTTGCTAATGATGTAAGTGAAATTGGACAAAGTGAGGGCCATGAAGCCACCAGCTGTAAACAGAAATGGACGGTCCGCATTTATCATGAAGATCAACAAAGTCTTCTTGCACTTCCTATCGAACGAGTACCAATTGCAGCCAAAGCCAGAGCTGGACAGAGTCTTGCTCTAGAAGATGAGGCATAAAAGAGATATGTATTTATCTGCAGCTGAGACTCACCTGCTCGTAGACCTCGTTGCCGAAGTAGCAATACATAAACAGTTGGCAGAGCACACAGCAGAGCATTAGGTTCATTACATTGGAGCTCTTCGAGCCGTCGCCGATCACGATCACCTGAAAAGCGGTCATGGCGATGATGACAACGGAGCTGACGAACTGCAGCATGACAGCGAGGTTGAAGATGCGCTCCACCTGCTGACGTAGGCTGTTCAGAAATCAGAATTTATATCTCTTTGTATATTTAGAGATCTCGATCTGCTTACACGATCAGCTCGCAATGGTATTTGACAATGGCAACCAGCCAGCTGTAGGCATCTACCTTGGTGCGCTCGTGCAGCTGGTCGAAGGCCAAGCTGAGCACCTTCAGGTGCATGCATATCTGGCCCATGACCGATATGTTGAGGAAGTCGATGCTAGTTGTCTCTAGTGCCAATAGCGAAACACTGAAGCCCTTATATAGCGACTGCACGATGCGTGGCAAGGAATTTGGCATTTCGGCCCGATACGGAAAACGATTTCCAGCAAACTCTTCGGGCGCTGCAAGGCAAAAGAAGTCAACGAAGTCTTACAATTTGGGAGAAGCTTCTTCACCAATTAGCACGTAGACAATGCTCATGAGGCCTGGCGTCAGCACGAGATGAAAGTAAATCAGATTCGCCAACTTGTTTTTCAACTCAGCTCTTTGAAACGCCTCCATTTGCTGCTCGGAGACAACGCAGCGTCGTGTGATCTCGCTTAGCTTCTGGAGTATGCTCTTCAGAGTACCATAGTGATAGCAAATGTTGCAGAACTGAAAGATAATTATTGAGTAGAGCAATTACTAATACAACAAAGGGTAATTCTCTAGCCAGATATGGAAGCATCAGTCTATCAATCAATCAATCAAGAATACTTGAAGGATGCATGCAGTGAGCAAGAAATTAGATATTAAAATATAAATGTACTTACAAATGAAGCTTCTAGTTCTTGCAGTATTCGATATAAGCTGTTCATCAATCATTTATAAACTCAATCAATCAATCAAAATTTCATATTGTGCAAAAAGTGAACACAACAAAGATGACTACAGCAAAAAATTCAGGTAGTCAACTCTTAAGGTGCTTAGTAAGCAATGAGCATCAATCAGTCTGTCAATCAATCAATCAAGATTAATTGACAGACATAATATGAAATGATATGCTAGTTGTTATAGAAAAGTATATTTGTAGCATAAAAGATCATCAATCATCAATCACTCAATCAAGTTCAGCAAAAGAAGAAAGCAAAAAATTTCATACTTTCTCCAGGCATACAGTATTTATCACTTCATTCTTATCAATCTGTGAATCACTCTGTCAATCAAAGTCTTACCTTTATCAAGAAAGCAATATGTGTGAAAGATAAGATCAGGTTCTGTGTCATCGCATCCAAGTCATGCCAATTGAGATAGAGATCGTACAGCTCCAGGTAGACATAATACCAAACGGCCAACACGATTGGATATCCGACTGCAATGATGCACAGCTTCTGCAGTGGCGTCTCCTGCTTCAGCCCCAACAGAGGCACCCCCACCAACTGGCCCAGCCACACGTTCAGCTCGATGGAACCGAGCTTGCCCTCTGCCGCATTCGAGGGCAAAATGCGTTGAACAAGACGCAACAACTTTTTCATTTCACAATTCGAATCAGCCAAGCCTCGCCCAGCAGGGCCCTATTTATAAGGTACTCAAATATAGCGTGCACCTAACGCCAGCCCACTTCTGAATAAGTAATCCTTCAAAGTGTTCGACCATCTAATTACTATCATAACACTAACAATATAATTTTAGCTCTTAATATCTGAAATTACTGCTTAGCTGTGCGTGCATATGGCAAATGATTCAATCTCGAATCGTATAAAACAATTTTGATTGTAAGGCTGATTCCTTAATTGTATTTTATTTTCATTTAATTTCTGGAGGGAGCAATGGCGATTGTTGTTGCCGCCTGGCAGGACATGTTGGCATTGGCTTTTACACGTCACAGTAGGAGATTGTTCCAGCCTCCCATATAACTCGTCCATCCTAACCCTAAGGAAGATAGGAAAGTTATATGAGCTGGTAAAGGTAAAGGTAAAGTGCAAGGTAAAGTGCACTGATTTGGCACTGAACACCTCAGCTCTTATATACCAAAAAGCTGTAATCTTAGTTCCATGCGAAGTTTTAATCAACTTTCTATGGGGAGCAGCTTATCTTAAACAATTTATAAATATGTTTTAAATTGTATAGATATAGATATTATTATATTTGCTTCTAAGCAAACACCTTTTCTATTTTGAATCTAATCAAAGGCAAACGAACACCTGAACTACCTTGATGCAGTCTATGGATACCTCAATATCTTCACTTTCTTTAACTTTACTTTCTCTAGACAAATAGAGTGAGTGAGGGAGTGTGGGACATGGAGTGACAGAGTGATTGAAAGAGATAAAGAGTGAAGCCAAAGGAAGATTTACTTTCCATATCTTTACATTTTCTAACCTGACTTTCTTCATCTCCCTGCAACTAGCTATAGAGCTTGCACTGGAGGCAGTCATCGAGGTGTGGCTCCTACGCCCAGATGTGCTATTTCGACCATGAGAGCAGATCGCGAAAGACTTAAGTTGCCAAGAATCAGCATCGCCATCGATCGAGCAATGATCTTGACATTTTATTTGTTCGAGATGCCTGCGTCATCTTTTGTTTATCTCGAAAGTATAAACGCTAAAGATTTGCCAGCGGAATACTTCTTTCCCTGCGATATGCATATGCAAAACGAGGCCATTGGCGTGTTTCCCAGAAATCTCATCCAATTTGCATAGTCATGCAGGAATATGTATATTTAGACTTGATTTTTCGGCTTATTAAAAATAAAAATATTTAATTTTTTACCTGTGGATGCTCACAAAGCAAAATATATTTTAATTATTTATTATTTTAATCATTTAAATCTCTGGACGGATTTGTGGCACGCTAAATTAAGCACCAAACAATTTTTTGCTATAACTATGAAAATTACCTCAGTGTGTTTATCTGTCCATTGGCCATATAAATATTACACGAAGAACTAGAAATTGTATAAATTTAAAATGTATTTGTTTTTTTTTTGTTCCTTTTGATATACGTATTTACAGTAACAACACCAACTCAGGACTTGATGGATATTTACAATCAATTACAATAAATATATATATATATATATATATATATATATATGTATAAAAAACGTACAATTGAATCTTTTAGAACTATATAAAAATTGTTGTAAATGTAAAACTTGCACAGATCACAAACATGGATCGTCTCATTGAACAGACTTAACAACGGTTTCTGGACATAACTAACATTGGTTCATCATATGTCATACGCATAAACATACGTACACATAATATACATGTATATATCTATATAATTTTGGTATAAAAGTTCTATTAGCTATGCGCCCGCACTTTGTGTATATTGATATATATAGTTGCTGATGGATAGGTAGATATAAGATGTCTAGATATTTTGAGCATCAGTGGAATGTGCCAGCTGAAGGCTGCTTTTGACTTTGATCTTAGAATTTGATGGCTCGACTGGATGATGCTTGGCCTGGTGGACCAGCAGCAGGCCGTGATTGATGCTCGAGAACTTGCACGCATTGCATTTGTGTATAATCGTGGATAGTTCTAGCTCCGGATGCACCTTTTGCAAATGTATCTATGAGAGAGCGAAAGAATATATAGCAAATGCGAATTGAGTGAAGTGTCGCGCGTGGCATACCCGATAGGCAGTGCTCTGAATGGCACGGAAATCGCAATGCGGACAGGCATACCGCTTTGGCTCCTGATGCGTGCCCAGATGGCGACGAAAGGCATTGTGATCATTCGCCTCGTAGTCGCACTTGTTGCACTTGAACCGCTTGTTCGCCTGATGGCTGCGCATGTGTAGCTTCAGGCTGCTCTTCGAGCTGAAGACGCGCTGCAAGTGTGAAGCATGATTAAAGCTGTGCTCAAATGGCATTCGAATTTCTAATGGCAGCTCACTTACCTGACAGGTGGGGCACTGTGGCTGCTCGTTGCGCTGCTTACACAGATGCTCGCGCAATGTCTTCCGATGCTTAAAAGCCGCGCCGCAATCCTCACAGCGATGCAGCACAGGCAGCATTGGCTGCAGCTGCTGCTGCTGCTGCTGCTGCTCCTCGTTTGCTGGCTTGCTCATGCCTAGGCCCTGTGTGCGATGCAGTCGCCGATGGTTCTTGAGCTGCTTGGTGTTCTTGAAGCCCTTGCCGCACTGCTCGCACTTGTAGTTGCGCTCCTCGGAATGGATCTTCGCGTGGGTGTTCACCAGCCGCGAATAGATGGGCGTCTTGAAGCTGCACAGCTGACAGCAGTAGAGCTCCATGTCGATGGCATGCGTGCGCCACAGATGCGTATGCAAACAATTCCAATTGCTGAACTGCGTCGATCTGCACTCCGGACAGATCATGGGCTGGGCGGAGCCCAAAGCCCCATTGTGACAGCGTCCATGGTAGTCGAGTGTCGCTGTCGACTTGAAGCGGAACATGCAGCCATCGACGGTGCATTTTTTGCCACTGGCCTCCTGTGGTTGAGCAGCTGCGCCCTGGGTCAGTCGACGCTTGGACTGACCTGACCCAGCCTGTTTGGCACCATAGGGACGACCACGCACAGAGGTGCCGCCAGCTAAGGGCTGCTCCACAGCGGCAGCAGCAGCGGGCAGCAAATTGTTGGCCACATAGATGCGTGCAGTCTTCTCGCTGGGTAAAGGCACAAGCGGCGGCACGGGCAGTCCGCTAAGGTTATCTGCACCGATTGCGGCGGCATCGACTGAGCCGGTGACTGGCACCAGGGGCGGCACAGGCCCCGAATTGGCAGCTGGCTGTGGATACAGCTGCGGGAAGTCCTTGATCAATAGATCACTGTGCGGAGGCTCCAGCTGCAACTGTTGCTCCGCTTCGTCCACCTCGTCATCCATCCAGGGCCAGCACTCCAGATCCTCGGCCAAGTCGTAGCTATCATCATAGCTCAGCGGTGCAGATGGCGGCGGCAAATCAACCAACGAAGGCTCCAAAGCCACAGCTGGTGCATTCAGGGGCAGCTCCAGTGGCAATGGCTCCCGATTCGGCACAATCAAGTGCTCCACTTCGTTGCGATTCATCAGATTTAGTTCGTCCACCGTGCGCAAATGGAGCGTGCCACGCTGAGGCGCCTTCAAGATGTCCACGTTCTTGATAAAGATCTTTTGCTTCGATGTGGTTGCTGTGGCTGCTGTGGTTGTTGCTGCCGTTGTGGCTGCGGCTGTGGCTGGGGCTGTTGCTGTTGCTGTTGGCACTACTGCGGGCAAATAGTTATCCAGCTCTCGGTTAAACTCTTCATGTGGCGCTAGCTCCGTCAGCTGCTGGTGCTGCTGCTGCTGCTGCTGCTGTTGCTCGCTGGGCAGTGAATGATCCGGCTCCGCATTTAATTGCACACTTTGATCAAAGTCAACGCTAAAATCCAGATCCAACGCGCTAAAGTTGTGGCTGCTGCTGCTGCTGGCGCTGTTGCCTGCACCACTACCACCACTCAGCACAGAGTCAAAGCTGAAAGGCTCACTGCACATGCTGGTCAGCGGCTCAAAGCTAGGCAGTGGGCCGCCTGTTGGCGTCAGCAGCGTCTCCGCATTGTAGACCTCTGCAGGACTGGCTACAGTCGAAGCGGTTGCATTGCCAAAGCCCATGCCAGGGAGCAGCATGGGCTCCTTTAATATATCCACATTTCTTATGTAGATCTTCGGTTGGCGTGGCTTGTCCAGCAGATTGTTGTTGATCATTAGAGGCGGCAGCTGGTCCAGTTCCTGTTGTTGCTGTTGCTGTTGCTGCTGCTGCTGTTGCTGGTTTCCATTGCTGGGCATTGGAAAATCAAAGGGCAACAGCGCTGGCTCTCTTAGAACGTCCACGCTCTTAATAGATATTTTTTGTACGGCTGAGCTAGGCGGGTCCTCCTGCACCTGATGCGGCTGCTGATGTTGCTGCTGCTGCTGCTGTGGATTGGAGCAATTGCCAGCTTCCTCCACATCATCTAGTAGATCTAGTATATTGCCATCAGGCGGCAGAAAGTCCGGCAGCTGCGGCTCACGCAAGCAGTTTACATTCTTGATATAGATGCGACTTTTGGGCATCGGCTGGGGCTTCTTGGAAGCCGAATCATTCGACTTGGCAAGTGCGGCAATCTCCTGCGGCTCCAGCTGATGATCGGCGCTAAGATGTAGATTGAGTACATCTGCGCTATAGAAGACATTCGAACAGCCTGCAAGAGCTTAACTGTTATATATATGCATAAGTGATATATATGTTGAAGAGTTTAACCTGGACAGAGCAGACGATGCTGTGCATCGATGCCAAAGCAGCTGCTGATGTGCGTTTGCGCCTTCAGTGGACAGAGACTCAGGAACGGACAATTGGGACATTTGTTCAGTGGCAAATCCGACTGACAGCTATCGCTGGCTATTGCCTTTGCTGTTGGCGGCGTGGGCGTGGCATTGGTGCGCTCCTTGGCCGCCTCAGCCAGCTCCGATTTGATCAACTCGGCTTCAGACTTAATCTCTGCTGTCTTTCGGCGAAAGCCATTGCGATAGCTGCGGCTCGGCTGGGGCTGCTGCTGCAAGTCTGTTGTATGGATTTGTACAAATGGAATGCAGGGGGAATCGACGAGGCCAGCGGAAGAGGAGCTCTTGTGGGCGCTCACTGCAGTTGCTCCAGTTGCTATGGGTAATGGAATGCTCAGCAATGCGGACTCATCGTCAAAAAAGCCGGTGAAATTGTCGGGCTCCAGCGAGTGAATGGGCGTGGACAACGACAGGTCTGCATGCTGCAACTGCGACAAAATAAGAAAAACAAAAGTGAGATCAACGAACCCACTCTCACGCGCACAATCTCTCTTGTGCACACAACCAAAAGCGTGGCTCACCTGGCTGCCCACGGTGCTGTAGAAGCTCGTAAAGGCCACATCCGCATCCGCGTTCATATTGCAATGTGCATGTGTAATTGTTTATAGCTGCATTTTAGCTAACTTCGCATTACATTTCAGTTGACAAAAAGCTGTGGCACTGATCTGATATCATATCAAAACATCTGATAATAACAACTACAACAACAACAACAAAAACAATTGCATCGATACTCACATCGATTTACTAAATCTATCGAAACTCAGCGATATAAAAATACCACGATAACAATAGATTATGCTGTTCATCTCGAAATAGCTATCAAAATTAAGATAACGCAACGATATGTATTGTTTTATATAAAAGATCGAAATTTAAATAAGTCACAACTAACAACAAATATTATAACATGTATAATAATAAGTGCATATAATATCTATGATAAGATATTATTATAGCTAGTATTATAATGAATCTCTGAAGAGTTGTTAAATGTATTTATTCAAATCTGATGAATGAATATCAAATAAAACCAGTCAACTGTGACGTCACAAGTAGTACTGCTTGAGTCACAACACATCGATAGTTCTTAGTGCACAGCGTGCCAAGCAATCGTAATCGTAAACGTTTGACTTATGTATCACATCGCTAGCGGCCGCCGACACACTGCGGAATAATTTCTATTTTAAATTATTTAATAAAGAAACTAAATAATACTGCAAAATGCCGCGTATTATGATCAAAGGAGGCGTCTGGCGCAATACAGAGGTAAGAAAAATTCAGAAGTTAAGTGAATCTATATAGATGGAAGGTTTTCTTCGTAGGATGAAATTTTGAAGGCGGCTGTAATGAAATATGGCAAAAATCAATGGAGTCGCATTGCCTCGTTGCTGCATCGCAAGTCCGCCAAACAGTGCAAGGCACGTTGGTATGAATGGCTTGATCCAAGCATCAAGAAGACCGAATGGTCACGCGAAGAGGACGAGAAGTTGCTTCATCTGGCCAAATTGATGCCGACTCAATGGCGTACGATTGCGCCTATTATTGGACGCACGGCAGCACAATGCCTTGAGCGCTACGAGTATCTGCTGTAAGTGTGAATGTCAATTGTGAAATCAATGTCTTGAATACTTTCAATTGCAGCGACCAGGCGCAACGCAAGGAAGATGGCGACGACACCATGGACGATCCGCGCAAACTGAAGCCGGGTGAGATTGATCCCAATCCAGAGACCAAGCCTGCACGACCCGATCCCAAGGATATGGACGAGGACGAGCTAGAAATGTTGTCCGAAGCACGTGCTCGTCTTGCCAACACGCAGGGCAAAAAGGCCAAGCGTAAGGCGCGCGAGAAGCAGCTCGAGGAGGCTCGCCGTTTGGCCACGCTCCAGAAACGTCGCGAATTGCGCGCCGCTGGCATTGGCAGTGGCAGTAGGAAGCGCATCAAAGGCATCGATTACAATGCAGAAATACCTTTTGAGAAGCGACCTGCTATTGGCTTCTATGACACCTCCGAGGAACATCTGCAGAAGCAGGACCCGGACTTTAATAAAATGCGCCAACAAGACTTGGATGGTGAGCTGCGCTCCGAGAAGGAGGAGCGGGAGCGTAAACGTGATAAGCAGAAGCTAAAGCAGCGCAAGGAGAACGAGGTGCCATCGGCCATGATGCAGAGCTTAGAGCCGGAACGCAAGCGCTCGAAGCTCGTTTTGCCGACGCCTCAAATTTCCGATATGGAGCTGCAGCAGGTAGTGAAGCTGGGTCGGGCTAGTGAGATGGCCAAGGAGGTAGCCGGCGAGAGTGGCATCGAGACTACAGATGCTCTGCTTGCCGACTATTCCATAACGCCACAAGTGGCAGCCACGCCCCGTACCCCAGCGCCCTATACGGATCGCATAATGCAGGAGGCGCAGAATATGATGGCGCTCACACATACAGAGACACCTCTAAAGGGTGGTCTTAATACGCCGCTGCATGAATCTGATTTCTCGGGCGCGTTGCCCAAGGCGGCGGCTATTGCTACTCCAAATACGGTCATAGCCACGCCCTTTCGCACACAACGCGAGGGCGGAGCAGCAACACCTGCGGGCTTTCTAACGCCCGCCTCAGGCGCCTTGGTGCCCATGTTGAAGAATGGCGGAGCTGGTGGTAGCAGTGCAACGCCCGCCTTCGTGCGTGACAAGCTTAGCATCAATGCCGAGGAAAACATGGCCGTAACCGAGACGCCAGCTATCTACAAAAACTACCAGAAGCAGCTGAAGTCTACGCTGCGTGAGGGATTGGCCACGTTGCCAACGCCTCGCAATGATTACGAAATTGTAGTGCCGGAGCAGGAGGATAACGAGGCCATGGAGACGAGCACTGAGCCAGCGATTGAGGATCAGGCAGATGTGGATGCCCGCATGCTAGCCGAGCAGGAGGCGCAGCGCAAACGAGAGTTAGCCAAGCGTTCACAGGTCATCCAGCGCAACCTGCCACGACCGACTGAGGTGAACACCAAGATTCTGCGTCCGCAGTCCGAGAAGCAAAATCTAACCGAGCAGCAGCAGGCCGAAGAACTAATCAAGCACGAGATGATCACCATGCAGCGTGAGTATCACCGAAAGTCACACCAAATTTATGTACCCCTAGCTTACCGACTTACCTCTCTCCAGTTTTCGACTCTGTGTGTGATCCAGTGCCTGGTCAATCGCAGCACAAGCTCGAACAGCTGCAGAGCTACTTTAAGGCCAATCCGTATGAGGAAATATCGCAGGAGGAGCTGGCAGAGGCCAAGCAAATGTTGGCCGACGAAATGGAAGTGGTCAAGGAGCGCATGTCCCATGGCGAGCTGCCACTCGATGTTTATGCACAGGTGTGGCAGGAATGCTTGGGACAGGTGCTCTATCTGCCATCCCAGCATCGTTACACGCGCGCCAATCTGGCCAGCAAAAAGGATCGCTTGGAGTCCGCCGAGAAGCGTCTTGAGCAGAATCGCCGTCACATGGCCAAAGAGGCGAAGCGTTGTGGCAAGATTGAGAAGAAGCTGAAGATACTCACCGGTGGCTATCAGGCGCGTGCGCAGGTGCTGATCAAGCAGCTACAGGACACATATGCACAGATCGAACAGAACTCTCTTTCGCTGTCCACATTTCGTTTTCTCGGCGAGCAGGAGGCGATTGCTGTGCCGCGACGTCTCGAGGCGCTACAGGAGGATGTGCGCCGGCAAATGGAGCGCGAGAAGGAGCTGCAGCAAAAATATGCCAATCTGGTCGAACAGCGCGATACGCTCTTCCAGCAACTGGAGCTAATAACGGGCAACCGACCCAATGCGCAACAGCTGCTCGGCTTGGAGCAGGAGATGCAGGCATAGATACATATGTATACATAGAATTTTAATCTTATTTCAAAAGAAATTAAATACAAATAATGTTAATTAAACAGACTAGTGGCCATATTTTTGGTAGACCCACTCCTTGTTGTCCAGCGGGCAGACGTGGCGAGTCTTGAGCCAACGGGCAATGCAGTGATAGTGGAACGCATGATTGCACTCACCCCATGCCACAGTGCACTCATCCTTATTCGCATTCGGATCCGCCTGGCACTCAATGCACAGATTCATAATGTGATTTCGGCAAATGGCGCAGTTGTCCACAGCCACATCCCAGGACCAATGCGCATGGGCCACCCACTTCTTGACTACGAAACGTTCGTCTTTCTTTCCGCTGCCACTAGCCACGTTGTCTTCGTTGAACTCGTCCAGATCGTGGAAATCTTCCGTTTCCTCCACCTCGAGCTCCTCGGCCATGGATCCATTTTTGTTACAGGTTTCCATTTACCTTTTTTTATTTATATTTTTTATTTAACTGAAGATTTAAATGTTTTGTGTTTGCTACGAATATTTTTTAAAGCAAACATTTTCGGTTTTTTCTTTGCTTGACGATATCAAAGCAAGCTGGGCTTTATTTCTGGAGGAGCAGTAGAAAATAGAGTACTCTTTCTTTCTCAGATTGCATTCATATAGAGAATAAGGCAATTGAGTAACTCATCAGGAAATGAATAAGTGAATCGCGGCATCCACTTACTAGATATATAAATTGAGTCCTCTAGCAAGTGAATGCTTCTACTCTAAAGTTAAGTCTGATATCATTTAAAGTGTCTTACAATTTAAAGTATAAACAGTCTCAGGTAAGTTCTCCATATACCGAAGTCTTAACATAATTATTATTAATTATTCCAGGCGTTTATTTTATAATATTTATTTAGTTCTGATTTTCAGCATAAATACATATATGTATACGAATTAAATTTGGTGCTAAAATACTAACAGTTTTTACTTCTCATTTGTTTTTTGTTGTTGCTGTTGTTTTTCATAAATATATAGATTGTTTATATTTATATTATTTTCTCTGTAATTATCTGTATAAATAAATATGCAATTTATTTTATTCGCTTTTTTGTATACGTGATTTAGGTAGTTTTGTTCTCATTTTGTGTTTTGTAAAAATTTAGAATTGTTTTTCATACGAGTTTTTTCAGCACTTGCGTGGATTATTGCCCATATGCAGATATACAAATTATATTTACGATATACAGAGTTGATTATACATACATACACGCATTTTATAAATATATAGACAATAATAATGATAATAATAAACATAATGATATAGCATAGATACTTATGCGGGCGGGGTGTATGTATGCATGCCTACGGGTTTACTAACAATAAGATTGATTGATAAGTATATATAGATTGAGAAGAATCAGTAGCGCCATGCAAGACGGGATATATATAGGGAGGAAGAATTCGTATTCAGATTGTCCGCTAGTATAAATTGGAGAGCAGTTTGCTTAATCGTCTTCATCGTTGATGGCCGCGCTGCTGCGGGAGATCTTCATGTAGGCAGCACAAATGCATTCGCAGACAAAGCGATATTGACTCTGGAGAGGAGATGGGAGAAGAGAGCTGTAGATTAGCGAGTCATGATTGAGTAGATAAGATAAACTTACCACATTCTGTACCATGCAAGCGCGTTGATCGCGCATGGTTCGCACTATATCCAGCGGATAGACAGGCTCGCGGGCCTCCATCAGCGCCAGAGCTGTGTCCATCAGTATGAGCACACCAGTGCGTCCAATGCCTGCCGAGCAGTGCACGATCACGGGAGGATTAGCTGCGCTAATGCATCTGCGAGAGGAGAAAACTAATTAGCCTTTGCTCTCATACACAGTCTAGATCTATATATCTCACTGGTGCACACTGGTGGATACGGGTGTCTCATCCTCGGGCGTTGCTCCATTGCTTGCGGCGCACTTGCGTTCACTCATGAGTCCCCCGTTCTCATCAGCATCCGCGTCGAGCAGCCGCACCTGTTTCAGACTCTCCTCAATCTCCTGGAGCAGCGTGCGATTGCGTGCAGCGCGCACGCGTTCCGTAAACTCGAGAAACAGATTGGGATCGGAGGGCACACAGTGATCCGGCCAGGCGAGATATTGCATGTGATGAATGTGCCGCTGTTCGTGCTTATCCCGCAGCACAAACTCACGAAAGACAAAGCTACCCGTTTCATCCGGTTTCTCGCTAAGACAGCGCACTGAGAAACCGTCGCCAAGCTGCAGCTCGTCGCCCGTAACGGGCCAATATTGATGGCATTTCTGACGACCTGCCTCCATTACGGTTGTAAGCATAACCAAGAGATGGCTGCTCTCCTGCTGCACCATGCGCCAGAAGTCTGTTGTGGTGCTGGCCAGCGGGCCTTGCGTCGCTATATATCGATTCACTGCACCGCCTGGTATTTCCATATTCACATAGTTGGCATTGATATAGTCACCAGTCAGCGAGTTGACCAAAGAGACGCGCGTGCAGTCATCTGGGGGAAATAAAGCTGAATAAGTTAAAGATTTCTTATCGGCATTATTTTGCACTTACAGGGCGATATATCCCGATATCGATTCTTGGGCGCATTCGCTGCTTTTCGAGCCTCCGTGATGGCCAGATCGGGGTTCTTGCGATACATCAGTTCGTATTGAGCAAGCAGTGCGCCCGATGCGAGGCCATCGCTGAGCAGCAAGAGGCTCTGAGTGAAGAGAGCATCGCCATCAAGCAGATTAGAGTGCGAGCCAATCTCATCGGATTCGGGCACATACTGGTAGAGGGGCTCCTCTTCGAGTAGCAGCGGAGCCGAACGCTTGGGGCGCACCGTCAGCAGCAGTTCGCCGCTGGATTGATGTCGGCAGTCGCGTATCATGGCCACCACCTGCTCGTGCCGCAATCCGTGCACTTCCCGACCATTGATCATGAGCACCTCGTCGCCCTCGCAAACACGGGGCGTGCACCGATCGGCGGGCGTGTGTGGCACCACCTTGGACACTTGCACGGGCAAACTAAGATCCACGCCTCCTTTAACATTGAATCCGTAACGACCCTGTTCATCGGCCAGTAATCGCATGGTGATTAAATCGCTGCCACTCTCTGGCTGACCCACGGCATCCGCTATAGTTGTAGGCAGTAGTATGGGACTGTGCTGCCCCGAGCTGTAGGCGGGCGGCATGGGGGAGGGCGTGCCAGACTCAAAGCGTCTCGTGCATTGCTCAATGAAGCCAACATCGCTGCGAACGAAATAAACAATACAAATTAGCGCGATTGAGAATGCTGATGGTATTAACTCTATGGACTAGATAGTTATAAGATTTTTGCTGTTGTAACTCCATCTAGCTATTCTATTCATTTGCAGAGCTTTACTCCAAGCATTCTCTCTTTACAAAACTCACAGCTGTATATCGTATTCGTCGCTGTGCTGTTCCCAGGCTTTGCGAGGCATTGCATCGGCCTGCTTGGACGTAACCTTGGACGTGTCATGTGGACGGCTCGTTTTCGTGATGGTCAGTATGGTGGATGCGGACGGTTTGCCGTTGTGCGAGGCGGCGCTGTCGGAGCCGCTGCCCGTGCCGTTGTGCAGCAACTGTGGCGTGCCATCTGCCGAGCTGCCACCACAAGTGGCAGCTAGTGCATTGCCAGCTAAGAGACGTTTGCTAGGCGAACGCACAAAGACCTTGTGGATTCGACCACGTTGCTTGGACTCCTGCACGGCCTGGAGTTCGGTGCGGCCCGAGTAATAGAATTTGCTGCCCAGGCTGATGTTGAGGAAGCGTGACAATCGATGCGGCCGCTTCAGTCGGAAGAAACTGTGATGCTCCACACAGGATTTCCACAAAGCCTTCGCATGCTTGTGGCTGCTCATGCCGAAGCCGAGCAGCGTGTCGTAGCTTTCGCTTGGTTCGCGGCGCAGCTGTATAAAGAAATCCTTGCGCTTAAATGACACCTTCACCATTTTACTCCACGAGAAGGTGTTGATGCGCAGCGCATGCTGGAAGACGAGCAAACCAATTGCCGAAACGCCCAGCTGCAAATCCTTGCCGTTGGAATCGGTTGCCTTATGCAAATCGATGCCATAGAGCTCCAAGCGTTTGCCATGCTCCAGATAATTGTATTCCGCATCAGCTGGCAGCTGGCCGCGATGCAGCTTATGAAGCTCACAGATCTTGCGCTCCGCCTCTGGCGTTTGCTCAGCCAGCAGCTGCAGTCCACTCAAATAGCCCGTCTGATGCTCCACGGCATTGAAGTCGCCCAGCTCAGCTGTTGACATATACAAATTGCAGATTAGTTTAGTCTATAGACAGATAGACTCTGGATTGCTCGTTACTCACACTGCACCGTATAGCTGGCAAGCAGGCACTGGGTGTTGCTGGAGCATGGCAATTGGCCCAGCAAAATGTTACGCTTGATCTGCAGATAGAACTGATAGCGTGTGAACTCCTCCTGCAGCCGACTGGGATCGCTTACAAAGAACTGTCGTCAAGTGGATATAGAATTAGCTGTTGATCTTTAGCTTTATATGTGTGATAAACCCACCTTAACTCTAAACTCTAATAATGGAACGGCATCGTTGTCGAGCGAGAGGCTGCTGCATTGCTTCTTGAATTGCTTCTGTGCGTCCACCCATCTCTGCAAGAGGTAATCGAATGCTTGAATGATCGATTAACTGCTTCTTTCACTTACCACAACATCACCGGGCTTCTGTGGAAATAATAGACCAAAGTAATCCCTTTCGGATAGCTCGAGATAGTGAAAGACCTGATCCAGTAGCTCAGAGCCCTTTGCACGTTTCTAAAAGGGCACGAAAATTTGAAATATATAAGACCAACATAGATAAGCTAGATATTTATCAGTCTATAGTTGATTTGTTTAACTTGACTAGTTTAGGATTACTTAATCCAAGTCCATGAAAATATTAATTCTGTTACTGAATACAGTCAATGTCATAATCGTAATTAAAATTTTTTTTTTTTTTTTTTTTTTTTTTTTTTTTTTTTTTAGGCAATATATTTATTTCTTTATTTTGTTGCAGCTTATTGTCTTAGACTCTATAGCGCATTTAGCTCTAAACCTTAACTAATGGGAGGGCAGATATGCCAATTATTCTGCACTTGTAGCTACTATCTTAATTAGTTCTAATATTGTCTAGAGGATGCAATCTCTTCAGTCTTCGCCTATTGTTGTTTATAGCCAGGTTGCTTGCGAGATGGTTAGGATGCGCTGCAAGTCTGTCCGCGTATCTTGAACTGTGTCGCCCAATGAGTTCAGCAACTGTGGGAATTGCTAAATCCCTATGTAAGACTGAGTTTCTTACAAACCAGCTGGCTCCAGTCCATCTGCGTAGTGCTTTATTCTGCAGGGTCTGAATTTTGTTCCTTGTAGTCTTCGCCGAGGAGCCCCATAGAGAGATACCATATACGAAGGTTGGGACAACTATTGCCTTGTAGATGGCGGCCTTGCTGCTGTAAGACAACTTGCTTGAAGCTCTCAGCATCCAGTCGAGGGTTTTTAGCTTGCTTTTGCATTTTGAGGTTACTTGACTTATGTGCGCTTTAAAAGTCAGCCTTCTGTCAAGAGTGATACCAAGGTACTTTACTTTTGAGGCTTTGGGAATAGTGGGCCCCAATGCAACGCTTGGGCAATCTCCTCTTCTAGTGGCGAAGGTAGTATGTACAGACTTTTGTGCATTAATGGTGATACACCACCGTTTTGCCCAGCGTCCGAAAGAGTCCAGATATTTTTGTAGTGAGTCTGAAGCTTCTTGCGCAGATACGTGACGTGATAAGATGGCGGTGTCATCTGCATAGGTCGCTATGAGTACTGCATCTGTACTTCCTATATTTGGCTCGGGAGTTGGCATATCTCCTGTGAATAAAGTATAAAGTGTTGGGCCTAGAACACTACCCTGTGGTACTCCAGCCATAATTGGTCTAGTCAAGGATACTGTTTGCCCCCTTGACACTTGGAAGGTTCTTCCAATAAGGTATGAGGATAGCAACGCGAAAAATGGGGCTGGAAGGGTGGTCCTCACTTTCTGCAGCAGTCCCAGGTGCCAAACTCGATCAAACGCCTGTTTGATGTCTAAAAAGACGGCAGAGCAGTACATCTTTTCTTCAAAGGCTCCAAGGATATGGTGCACAACTCTGTGAACCTGTTCCGGTGTTCCATGCTGTCTCCTGAAGCCAAACTGATGGTTTGGAATGGCCTCCTGGCGTCCCAGATGTGTCAGTACTCGTTCCAGAAATATTCTTTCGAATATTTTGGAGAGTACTGGCAACAGGCTAATTGGTCTGTACGACTCAATTTCTCCCACGGGTTTGCCAGGCTTAGGAATCATCACAATCACGGCGCGCTTCCAGCAGGCTGGAAAGTGCCGGATGCGGAGCATGGCGTTGTACACCATAGTTATGTAGTCTATGGTGGAGTCAGGCAGTGCTCTAAGGACTCTGCCGTTTATTAGATCATATCCAGGGGATTTTTTTGCCTTCACTCTTCTGATGTGTTCAAGAACCTCTTCTTTTGTACATCCAGTTATCTGGTCTTCAGCTGGGAGGGGCGAGAGAACGATGTCTTCTGTTGCTTCGATTTCTGAGGCCTCTGCGGTAATCACCGGCGTGAATTGGTCTTGAAGGTGGTTTGCAAAAGCCTCAGCTTGAGCTTCGTCTCCAATGTGCCAGGAACCAGAAATGCTCCGAATGGGATGACGTCGTATTGGCTGCCGTTTGAGCTTTCTTGTAAATTTCCATAATTGAAACTCTGCGTCAGTGGGCGATTCAGCTCGTACCAGCGCATCGCTGATACACCTCTTTTGAAGCAGGGCGAGAGCAGCTTTAAGATGCCTCGTGGCTTCGTTGTACATGGATTTGGCATCAGGCGTGCGTAATCTTAACCAGCGTCTCCTGGCCCATCTTTTGTGTATTAGTAGGTGTTGGGCCTCCAAGGTGAGGGGGATGTTGTACGGAGACTGTTGTCTTGTTTGGCAAGATGGTGGGGCGGCTTGGTGCGCAGCTTTGACTATTTCTTCCTGCAGTTTGTTTGCTGCGTAGTCCACGTCTTCAGGAGTGTTAAGTTCCATTTCTATGTGCAAAGAGTAATGGAGCTCGCGCCTAAAGACTCCTAAATCTGATCCTGCTGGCAGTAGTTGTTTCCTAATGGGCAAGGGCTGTGGCTGCGCGTGGATTGTGACTATTAGTGGCAGGTGGTCAGAGGATAGGTCCAAGGATTCTTCAATGGTCAATTGCCGGTCACAGATGCCTTTGTAGACAGCGAAGTCGATTGCCGAGGGCCTGTGTCCATTAATTGGGTAACGGGTGGGGGCTCCAGTCGCCAATATGCTGAATTGTAAGTTTTGAATCGCCTCAAATATGACTTCTCCGCGACGATTCGCACTATTGCTTCCCCAAAATGGGTGCCATCCATTCCAGTCGCCGCCGATGAGGGTCTTATTCAACCTTTGGCCTAGAACCTGTTCCATGTGATGATCACACAGACCAGTGTTTGGCGGAAGATAAATTGACGCAACTTCGATCGCTCCAATAGACGTAGGCAGGGTGATGGCTGAGACCTGCATTGTTGCGTTGCAAATTGGCAGTAAAGGTGTATGCGGTATTGTTGCTCGTATGAGGATTGAGGATCCACCAAAGCAGTTTGCTCCTTCACCATGAGCCTGATAGTGTTCGTATCCGAAAATTTGTGTAGTGGGGCACTCATGAGTTTCTGTTATTAACATTATATCTATGTTTTCTTGTGAGAGAAACGCAGCCAGTTCCTGAGTCTTGTTTCTCAGGCCATTGGCGTTCCAGATACCCACACGTAAAGCCATTATTTGTAGGCAAGCTTGGTTATGATGGCCATTAAACTGTTTAGCATGGTTGCTTGTTGGGATTGTACTTCTCGCATCGCTTTGAGCTCGGCATTAATTGCGTCAAACTGACGTTGTTGTTGCTGAAGCATTTCAGTGAACAAAGTGTCACTTGTGGTATTCTTATTTGACGGTCCACCTCTAGCGGCCTGTGCGTAAGAAACACCACTAATAGGCGTTGCAAAGCTCGTGGCTTGGGTAATGCTCCGGGGCCTTGTAATTTCGGAAGCAGTACTCGGACCCGTAGACGGTGTTTGTGTGGGACTCCTTTTTTGTGCTGGGGATTGCAATTTGCGCAACCGCTTGTATACTTGGCAGCCCTTATAGTTGGCTGGGTGCTGTAACTCACAGTGCACACAAGTTGGTGCCTGGTCCTTTTCGCGGGTGCAGTCTTTGGATGCGTGTTTCCCGGCGCAACGCACACATCTGGGAGCTTTGTGGCAGTAGCGTTGTGTGTGTCCAAATTCTTGACAGCGATGGCATTGTGTCAGGTCGTTGTATCTTCTTGGCAGTTCCACTGTGCAGCGTTGCCTGCAGACAACTCGAATGTCCAAAATTTCTTTGTTGTTGGGGGCCTGAGCCACGTCAACAAAAAATATATTTAGCGGTGTTTTGTCCATACGGCTCAGTGGGTTGTGCACATTTGTAATTGTGTGGCCTTTGGTTTCCAATTCCTTTTTAATTAGTGTTGTATCAGTGCTGGAGTGAAGCCCTTTGAACACGACTCTATATGGTTTGTCCTCCTTAAGCTGGTAGCAGTGGAACTCCAATTCCAGCTTAGTAAAGTGGTCTATAACTCTGCGATAGTCCTCACTGCATTGGGTTAATACACCTATGTTATTCTTCTTTGGCTTAATTACGTATGATTTAGCATCAATTACTTTATCTATTATCTGTTGAAGTAGGGCCACAGACTTGATGTTTGGACACCATATGGGGGGCGGACGAGGTTTCGGAGTAGTTTGCTGGTCGGTCAATACTGGGGCTTCTGGAGCTACAGGTGATTCGCTGTAGTCTTCATCTTCTTCTACGAGCAGTGAAAATCGATTTTCTGATATTAATGCTGCATTGCTGGTGCTTGGTTCGTCGAAGATGAGCCTTTTCTTGATGGTTTTTGGTGAATTTGGCTGTTTACGTTTCGTGTTTTTGTTGTTAGTGATGCCTTGCACGGAGGCGATATCTATTTTTGAGTTTATTGGCATGATGGAGGCTTGCCTATTTGCCATCACAACGTTAAGCTGGGCTTGCATTTCTGCATTTACCTTTACAGCTGTAGCGAGGTTATTGACATTAGATGTCATCGCGGATTGTGCTTTTGAGTGCAGGCGCACTCGCGCCAAGCGACGAAATTTCGTAAATTGCAATTAAAGCAATTGAGTTACGCGGAAGCAAGCGATAAGAAAACGCTGCGTGTGCGGTTTTTGTTGCTGTTGCGTTGAAGAATGCACCGCAAAGTTCTATTTTTAGAACTCTGCAGCAGTAGAGCTTAAGCGAAGGCTGTTCGAATTCACGTCTTTACAGGTCGAACGACTGATCGCGATTGTAATTAAAATTATGATTTAGTAACTGAATAACGCTTCGATAATGTTTTTAATCGAAACAGCAAGAGTTATCGATCATTTGAAACGAATTCGACACGTTCATAAACTCGATCAGAGGGGCTAAATCAACTCAGGTCTTCGCCCTGATATTCTGCCTGTTACATACACTTCAACAGACCTTTATGCCCTGTATTCCCATTTTCATTCAGTTTCAATGAATTTATGTATCTAATATAGGAATAATAGAAAACTCCAACAATAATTGTATGTATATACGTAAATGTATTATGTGTATATATCGCTTCGCATCGTTCCACACGCATAAATTTCACTATTTACCCAGTTTAGTTGACTAACTGTAAGCTGACGTTAATTTGAGTGCGATTCGGAACAAGCAGATCTTAAGTTAAGCGCAACTTAAGCTTTATTTTCCATTTCGAGTGTTTTTGTAATTAAGAAAACAATGCGAATGCCTCTTCGACAAGTGCGTGTCTGTCTATCTGTCTGTCTGTCTGTCTATCTGCCTGTTTGTCTCCTCCAAAATGAAAGCGAGTTTCGAATATTCAATTTTCAAGTGCAAATGGAAAGAAAAAAGCTGCGGAGGAGGAGGAGGAGGAGGAGGAGGGAAAGGCAGAGTATTTAAGAAAACAATGGCTAATATATACAAGTAGACTTTCTATGCTCAAGAGTTCGTTGATTTTTTTACACAATTCGCAATTTACAGTTGGAAAGCAACTTGTGAAGTGCTACAGGGGTTTTCGAGTGGGTGTGAAGGCTGCATACATACAGTGAATGCTCGTCTAAGTGAACCTAAAATCAGCTAATCGGAATTCAATTTGCAAGCTAAGCTTATCTAGAGCTTATCCCTAGCTTAGCTAGCAGAGTCTTCACTGTACTCACCTCGATCCGAAAGGTGTGCGTGATGTCATCTAGGAACAGGACGGTGACGCATTGCTGCCGCTGTTGTTTCTTGTCGCGCGCCAGTTCTGAGGATGCGCCGCGTTGTCGATAGCTTTTGCTCAGGTTGCTCAAGCGGAAGCGTTCAAACATGGCCCCGCTCCATTCTGCTTCCAATTAAATCTAAACGTTTCGCAGTGTGTGTGTGTGTGGGTGAGTGTAGGTGTGCGTGTCCTCCTTTAGCAACTTGCTGAAAGACTCCTCTTGTGGCTGGCAGTTTGTTTATTCAATAAATAATGGCAAGACTTTCGACCTTTGTTTGGACGTGTCGTTCACGTTATGGCTAAGACTTTGGATGGATGTTCGACTTAATACTTCTTTATCTTCCTCTACTGTGCTGCAAAGAGATTGAGACATTTGATTAAATCAGATGTTGACATAGGTGAGTTACAAACATTTGATTACATATTTAACAAGCGAAAAACAAGTGCAACTTAACAAACTTGTCGTAACAGCGCTGTTAACTTAACATACAATGTTATTGCAAGCAAAATACAAATGTTATTAATATTTTAGAGATTGCAATCTAATCTAATCGAAACAGACGAATTTGGCTTTATGCAATAACATGGAAACATTTTCAATTACGTTTGCACTTGACGTTTTCGCCCAGTTTTGTTTTCTTTCTTTCTTTTGGCTGGGCCTGCCAGCCGGAAATTGTGTATTAATATAGAACACAGAAAGAGAAAGAGAGACATAGAGAGAGAGAGAGAGAGAGAGAGAGGGGAAGAGCACATAAATATTTTTATCTGTCACATGTACAAAATACTTGTATTTGTATTTGCTATAACTAATGGCATAATACTTAAATAGCAATCGAAGTCTATGTGTGTGTGTGTGTGTGTGTGTGACTGTGTGTGGGTGCTCAGTAATATATACAACAAATATACAAGTGAAAGCCACACAGTGGCTAATGCACTTGATAAGCAAATTCCAGTTGTGGCAAAACAATTTTAACTTTGACTCCTTTGTTTCTGATATTAGTTTACTCTACTTAAAATAGTATTTATACTAAGTATGAGTTTCTAGCAAGCGAAATCATGTCGAAACATTTATAACTAGTTCATATATCATGTGGAACAGCTCATAAGCCAACTGCAAGGCGCATCTATCATGAAGAAAGATAAGCACACACACACACACATGCATAGCGTATCTAATACACACTCATACGTCCATAACATAGACTCCATTGATTCAATTGCGACCAAGTCAAAAGGAAGTCCGAAGACGTAGACAAAGGCGATATTAGTCACTCGCTACAGTTGTCAACGACTTGTCTACGCTGTGAGTGTGTATGTGTGTGCGTAAATGCATGGCTCTGTCTGTATGTATGTATGTGTATGTGTGTGTGTGTGCGTGCGTTTGCGTTGCTCGTCAGCGCGTGAAAATATGCGCCGATTGCTGTCTAAGACCCAGTAAGAAGACCTTTGGGCCAAACTACTTGTCAGCTGAAGTGTTTCCCTCGCACACCCGCTCCCACACACACACAGCGTCACTCACCTGAGTACTACACCTTACAAAATAAACAATGACAAAATACAATGCGTTAAAAAGGGAGTGTGAACTATGTGAGCTTAAACTGCGAGGCTTTAGAATACCCTAACCAAAATAATAATAGACGCGAAGCTTGAATACTCTGGCATAAAAGGTATTTAGCTAAAAGGTATTTAGCTCTAAAGTAAATACTTGCATGTTAAGTCACGTAAATACTCTAGAATCTAGAAGGTATTTAACAATATTATTTCACATATAAAAAACTTATTATTCTCGTTGAAATACATTTCAATGAGAGCTCATTTGATCCACATTGAGAGCCTGATTGCTCCTCATAAAGATTTCTACAATCTGTTTACCGATCTCGGTCTCGAGCAACATTTAACTAAATCTCTTTTATATCGAACTATCTAGTTGTCCCATTAGCCTATTATGCAAGCTATTTACCTTTGAAGCATGAAGCCAATTAATGCCTTCCACATGGGTTGCTCAGTAGGTTAAGCTGATTAGGCAGGAGGGCGAAGGGGGGCTGCAGTAGGGTGCCCAGCAGGTGGGAGGGGTTGGGGGTTACTCTTAATTCCATTTCGTTATCGGCAAATGAATGCAAATTTGTTAGGCACACAAGGCGTAACCCGTTCAACCGTTTGTTAATGGGTCGATAATTTTTTATATTGCGTTCAACAGGTTGAAGAAAAACCAACTGAAATAATTACTGCGACTACTAGATACCCTGTGGGTAGCTCGGAAGTGTGTCAATGTGTGTGAAGGCAAAATGTTAATATATCGATCTAAATATTAGCAATTTATCGACCAAGTAAAACATGAGACTTATGTGAAATTAGGTTTTTTTCGTCAATTACTTTAGCTTTTAGAACTATATATATTGATATCGATTGATTGATAGATAAAGAAAGCGACAATTAAGAACCTTTAATTTGAATATGACACTTTTGTCACCTTCCATTGCTTGCTCTGATGTCTTTTTATAGATTACAGGGTATATATAGAAAACAGAAACGAGGTTGCGTCATTTGCTTCGGTAACGCCCACAAGGCCTTCTCCGTCGCCCCATTTCAGGGAATTGGCGACAAAACGACATCGACCAACGGGCCATATATGAACGGGAAGCCTTATAGACGCTACTCGACTCGATTCGATTCTCATTGTGGTTATGACGACTTTTCGTAGTTACCCTCTCTCTATATGGGAAATGGGTAGTGCGGGGTTGTAGTAGGGGTATTCAGGTGATCACATTGTTTGTATTTATTACGTATGTCTTTGTTATTATTCTGCGCTTTTGCCATTAATTGAAAACGAAATGAAATGAACAACAACAAAGGCGAACAAGAACAACAGCAAGAACAGGAATATTTCTGGCTAAACAGTCGTATTGTTTAAAGTGCATAAACAAAAGCTCAAACACTTCCTCACATATAAAAATATATATCAAATTTATTCGCATGACAACACAATACAAATAAGCGCAAAATAACAAACTTTTGGTTCGTTGACCGAGTTTTTGAGGCCAAACTTCTCTCACTTTTCTCTCACTCGAATTGCAAAATTTTTGTTTATAATGTTAAGTATTTAAATATTTATGTGTGCGTGTATATGGGCGTGTGTGTGTCTGTGTGTATGCAGATTTAATATGCTATTGTTTGAGTAGTTGTTGGGCAAAGCTGGAAATTCTGCTGGAACAGCTTCCGTTGTTAATGGACAGTGGGACAAAGTCTATAAGTCACAGCAGCAAATAAAATAAGCCGTTATACAAGTCAAGTTTAGTTGCATATTATAATTTAAGACAGCAATTATGATTATAACTATTAAACATAGTTAATTACATGTTTGACAGCCTGGGAACCACTGTGCGAGTTGTGCTTTTGCTTTGTTCGCGTGACCCGCTGAGCAAATGGAGGAAATGGCAACGTAAGCAAATCCAATTTGCTTGCCAGATGCTGGAAGTGGATAGTAGAGATAGAGAGAGAGGAAGAGAAAGAGAGGGGGAAGGCGGAGAGTCTGACAACGTTGAACCGGTTAAGTATTTGGCAGCGCTTAAAACTGAGCTTCGATGTCAGCTGAGCTGCTCAAGTCACGTAGATTTGCAGATAAAATGCGACTGCAGATGACTCAAGCCGATTGGCCAATGGAAACGGGGCAGCAATAGTTAACGCTTCAAGAGAGAGGTCACATTGTGGACTGTGTAGAACTCGAACTGGAACTAGAAACGGAACCGAAAGCCACACACTGTGCGGTCTGCCATCTGCGTAATGGAACACGCAGCCGTTGAACCTGCTGTCAACGTAACTTGAAACAGCAAACACACAAATGGAAAGGTGAAAATGAGAATTATAACAAGGCGAAGAAAGAGGGGGTGCAGTTGGCTCTGACTGCCACTCAATTTCAATTAGGACACATCACTCAAATCGTTGATGAAGGGTATTTCAATTTTGTCACCAACTATGCGACGCTTACATCAAAAATATGCTCCATGCCACAAATCTGGCTTTAATTTAGTATTTTTGGCTGCCTGGCAATCCTTATCAAAGTCAAAGCGGTCAAAGGTGGGCAGCCTTCTGAAAGCTTCGTCTGTTAGCAACCCCACGTGCGGCCAGCTCAACTGATAAGGGAGGGAGATGGGCACAATTGAATTTGTCGTGTCAGAGAGGCATCAATAATGTTGCTGCTGTTGTTGTTGCTGTCTGTGCATTTGCATTTGCATTTGTTTGGTTTTATATGCTTTACCGTTATGCGTCAGGGTTGCCATGTGTGCGCAGGGCTAAGGCAAAAAGGGGCAGGGGCAATGCTTATCGCTGTTTGCTTTTTAATTTTTATTGCTTCTGACGAACGACCATACGAACGGCACACGCACCCCGACAACGAGATGCTCTTATGCTATTTTTGTGTGTTCATGCAACAGTAGCCCCCAGAGCCAAGCAGCCCCCGGGCTGCATGCGCACATACACATACACATGCACACACAGTCATACAGTCAAGAGCTGTCTGGTTGTTTACGCTTCGCTTCTTCTTATATTCTTAATGATTACCTTACACATTTTGTTTTTACCGTTAAACAAAAAAATCGAAATTTGTCTACTAAACAGTTCGCTTAAGCGCCGCGACGGCTTGAAGTCAACTAATCTCATTTACAGCGAAACTGTGCTAAGCCTATTGCGCTCCAAAAGGCAGAGAGTGAGAGAGAGAGCGAGCTGTAGTTACAAACACAAGAGAGCTAGTTCAATTAATTAAAGGATTTGTAAACACAGTACCATGATTAATTACACGCACACACATAAACAAACTCATGCATACAGACTGTGTGCATTTATTTCTGGAATTAATATAGAATGTGTGTGTGTGTGAGTGCAAGTACATTCTCTCCCTCTCTTTTTCAAACTGTGATTTTCAAGAAAATCAGACAGACGCTGCGACACTGCGCTTCGTTGAGTAGGCGGCATCTTGAGCTGTGCATACATGTACATGTGTATGTGTGCGAGTAAGAGTGAACATCGAAGAGAGTAAAATCATAATAATCAAAGGGCAACAAACAGCGCACTGTGGCGTTGATTCTGCCTGCGGCTGCAGATAAGCGCACTCACACACACACGAGCACATAGTCAGCAGCGTAAGAGAAAGAGTTAAAAGAACCGCTTTGGACATGAACTGCAGCTCACCTTTTTGCATCCAGCACTTAGGTACGTCTTACGTTGTGTGTATTCTTTTTACATAGCAACAAATTCAGCAAATATGAAGAACACATTTATTTGTAAGGCTCCTTCGCAACTTTATACAAATATTGACGCACATACACACACACTTATGCATTGATCGGTCGCTCACACGCACACGTACCGCGAGTTGAAAGGAAAACAATAAAACAGGAAAAATGGAACGGCAGAACGAAGCCGCAAAACGAAAATAAAGTTATGGTATGCTGGTTGTTTGCCTATACGAGCTAGGGTTTACATATGGAACACGTAACGAAACCACAAGCAATTCTGCTTTCAATAATGAACAAAATTAACAAAATAAAATAGAATTTAATTTTTTCTCCGAAACCGAACAAACCAAGGCGAGCAGCGACGAACTAGTGATGTTAAATACGGGTGTACAACGTATCGATGTATCAATGTATCGATGCACCCAATTAAGCATTGACGATGTATATCGCAAAAGAGCTCTAAATAACTGATAGTTATCGAGTGTTTGCTCACTGACTAAAGTTGCTTGCTATGCAATGTGCGCGCGTGATTTAACATTTTAAATTTCACTTATATTGAGCCACAGCAAGCATTGCTTATAATTCGGATGCAGATATGGAATGTGCTCAAATGATTTTACATTTCATATTTTACTTTGTACGTAGCTTATCCAGCATTGTTTTAAATTCGGATGTGGATAGAAACAAATTTGGTTTTTTTCAATTAATAAGTTGCCAAGCGATGTCAAGTCGTTAGAGTAGTAAGAGGAGGCCAGTGAAGAAGCTCAAGAAACAGCCCAAAGAGTTGGGCCAATAGCAGCCGAATGTCCAGAAGAAGGACCAGCCAAAGGCTACCGACACAGACAAACAAAAGCTCGGCAAAAACCCAACCACCCGCACACGCACACACTCTTAGGATATCTGATGCTGCAATAAAACTGAGTTAGCTTGCATATTGCCTAGCTGAATGATGATTAATTGAAGAGGTCGGGGCTGCTCGCTTAAAAAACCATCACAGAAATGTGACAGCCACAAAGCCACACTGCAAAAAATAAAACAACCTCTGCTGGACACGGGCATTGGCGAGCGCAGCGAATGCGGCAAATTCGCATTTGATGCGTTTTTTATGTTAATCGAGTGAGCTAATGGACATTGCGAGCTGTTGTCCGTCTTCCCGATGTCCTGCTGACCTGATGTCAGACCGGGACATGTGTGTCTGTCAATTTTGTTATATTAATCAAACGATAAAGCGATTTGTAGTTGATATCCAGCGAGAGCGAGAAATAGAAGGGGAATGACAGGGAGGTGTTAACATATTGAGTGCGAGAGAGAGAGAGAGAGAGAGAGAGAGAGAGAGAGAGAGAGCTGTATATAGAGAGCTAGAATTAAAATGTGGGCAATGCATAAAGGGACAGATTGAGAGAGATGGAGAGGCAGCGGGCGATAGGGGGCGGGAGCTATGGAGAGGAGACCTGGACAGCGAGGAATAGAGAATAACAGAGAGACTATAGAGATATGAGAGGGAGAAAGTCTCACAAAGAGGAACCGGAAATTTGCAAAGAACAGGACAGAGGGAGAGGAGACAGAGGAAATAGTTTTAAAGTAAGACAAAATTGTAAAGTTCGTGTGAATAAGATATGTATATATATCTTAAAAAGAGCTATACACTGAGAGAAAAGCAGCGGAATATATTGTCCTTGTCAAATGGAAGCGTTATCAACATTCTTAAGGCATTTAGAATTGAGAATCAGAGAACACTCTTGAAATGAAGCTCTTAGTGAATCGATACAATTTTTCGCTCAGTGTAACTTCTGCAACTAACTGGAATAAACAAGGCAATCTCATGTGTTTATCTTCATATTTAATATTTAAGCCTTTTTATGGAAAACGTATTTGAATTGTTTTTTTTTTTTATACAAAATTTAAATTACATTTTTTATAAGCTAAAAGTGTGACAGATTTGCTTTAAGTATTATACAAATACATATATAAGATGTATATATATATTTTCTAAAGTGTAGACGAAACAACATAACACAAATAAAACTTAAGCAGAACTCTTAGAGGTATTTAATTTTTTATATAATATTTGTTAAAATTAAAATTAAATGAATTAAGAAAATTGAGGGGAATTCAAGGACATATTTTTAAATTTATTTTTTAATTATAGTTGTAATCGTAATCTAGAAGAGGAAGCATTTGATATGTTGTAAAAATGTTAAATATTAATTATAATTTTATTTTTAATATTTATGTTTATGCTTTATATATATATTTATTTTAAGTATATTTTTTATGCGATATTCGAGCTGGTAAAAATGTACAATTTAATTTAAATAATTAATAACAATTAGAATTAGTTGAATAAGCATTTTGATTTAGTTTTTAGATTTAAGTGCTAGCATTAATTTTTTTTATTTTATTTTTAAATATATGTTGCTGGCACACTATCCAAGTCTTATGCGAGAGTTTTATTTTTAATATTTATATTTTTTATTTTTAAAATTTAATTAATTGCATTTATGCCGAGTATTTTTATAGAATTTCAATGGGTTTTGTCGTGTGAGTTTTCTGCATTTAATTTATACTTAATATATTTTATTTTTAAATTAATTTACAAACTTACATATTATTTAACAACATTGAATGTTTTAACATTTGCCAAAATATTTAATTAAAAAATTGCTAAACAAATTTTAGTTTTTATTTAAATATATATTTCTATTTTTTAATTATTTTATTTATTTTTTCAATATATTTTTTTATTAAATATTTGCTTACTACTTGACTCAAATATTTAATAAACAAATTTTTATTTAAGGTTATTTTTTTTGCATTTTTAAGTTTTTCTATATACAGTTTTTTTTTTAATATTTTATTTCTTATTGAATATTGCTTAGGCATTTAAATCAAAATATTTCATAATTTTTATATAATATTTTTTTTTTTTTTTGCATTTAAATAAAGAATTGCTTAAGCAAATTTTATAAACTATTGCTCAATATTTCGTAATCCTTTTAATTTAATTTAAATGTTTAAATATTTAACTCTTGAAATTAAATATTTTATACAAATTTAAAAAATTGATATTACAATTTTTAAAATAAAAAATTATTTAAGCATTATTTTATAAAATTTGCTTAAGCAATTTTTTTAAGAAATAATTTTTTATTTTAGTTTTTTATGTACAGCTTGAAGCTTGGCTTAAAATTTGTTTGCAAACTTTCTCATGCCTTTCTGTTCGCTCAGCAGTGGCTACAGGTACAGCCAGTAGCTGCTAGCACTTGGTGGTGCGAGTGGCTCAGTGGTGGTTGCCCTTGCGCGCATTAAAGAACATTCGCGCCACCTTGCCTAGAGCGCCAACAAAGTCCCAGCGCTGTGACTGCTGCTCCGCTTGCTGCTGCTGCTGCTGCTGCTGCGGGTGCTGGTGCTGCTGCTGCTGGTGGTACTCCTGCTGGCAGTCGTGCCTCGCCTAGGAGGGCGTCGAGTACCAGGCACTCGCCGGGCTGCCCTTGTGGTACAGATGGAAGCTCGAGTGGGGCGCAAAGTATTGCGGCTGGTCCAGATTGCTGTAGGTGACGCCGCCCTCGGTCGTGGTCGTGGCATGCGGATGCATGCCAGCCGTGTAGGCCTGCGGTTTCAGGGGCAACGTGGCGCCTGCCGAGCCGTCCACAGGTGTGGCGTATTGGCCACGCAAGGGATCAGCATAGTCATAGCCGCCATTGGAGCCCACCAGGAGGCCAGGTGGCGCAGCCGTTGAGGGCAGCTTGGCCGAGTTGTTGGAGTCGCGCGGCGACACGGAGCTGGGCGGCGTCATGGCGTTGTGATAGTCAATGGAGCTGTGATAGCCGCCATAGGTCGAGACCAGGTTCGTAAAGGCGTCCGCCGAGTTGCCGCCCTTCTGGCCAACGGGATGTGGCACAGAGGCCGCCGCTGCCGCCGAGTGCAGCTGCAGATACTGATTCTCATAGGAGGATTCGCTGCCTGGCGGCGTGGGCAGTGGCCCGCCTTGCTGCTCGCCATAGAACACACCTGGCACGCCCACGCCCACACCTGTGGGCGTTTGCCTGGCTGTGGCACGTATCACGCTCTCGCGATTCGCGTAGAGCTGACGCAGCAGCGCCGTAGCTGGCATGGGAGCTGGCTGCTGGTAGGGCGTGCCTATCCACTGGATGGTGCTGCTCTTCTCGTTGGCATCCGTGGCATGGAGCTGCTGCTGCACCTGCTGCACCTGTTGCTGCTGCTGTTTGATTAATGCGTCTGTGCTGAAGTCTGTGCTGGGCTGGTTGTTGTTGTTGTTGTTGTTGTTGTTGGGCGAGGGCAGGTGCTTGGACATGGCATGCTCCAGATCCTTGACAGCCGAGTCAGCTGCGGCTGTTGGCTGCACGTCCTCCACCATCGAAGGCAGGCGACTGCGTGGCTCTCGCTGCTGCTCCAGCGCGGGCAGCTTGCTCAGCGGCTGCTGCTGCTGCTGTTGCTCTGCTTGCAGCTGCTGAGCTCCCACCTGACTCACCTGCTGCTGGTCGGCTTGCTGCTCCTCTGCTTGCTGCGCTGCTTTGCTCTTGCGCTTGCGCTTGCTGCTCGTCGCGCTGCTTGTGGGCGTCGGCGTCGGCGTGGGCGTGGCGGACACGGCAACAGGCAGCACGCCATCGACCTCAACGCCCAGCGGCGTGGGCGAGTCCTTGATCAGCGAGAGGCTGCTGTTGAGATTGCTGCCATGCGTCGCATTGCGTCCTCGGCCACGTTGCGTGTGACCCTCGGCATCGGTCTTGGGCGAGCCAAGGCCCAGCTTCATATCGCCACTCAGGTGGGCATTGCCCTCACCTGACGCATCGCCTCCAGGCGAGCCGCTGCTCTTGTCGTTGCCCAGACCCTCCTCGTGCTTGATGCTGTCCACACTCGGCTCCAGCTGGCAGCAGTCCAAAATCAGATTCTCATTCTCACGATTACTGGGGGAAATGGACAAAGGACGAACGGGTTAGTCGGATGTTATTGACTGGGACTTAGGTAAGCTGTCTCAGCTGTACTCATATATCGTATAGGACTAGACTCTACACTAGACAGAGGCCTAGACTCTGGCTAAAGGAGCTGCACTGTTGGCAGGCAAGTGATAAGCCCTATTGATCAAGAACTACTGAGAGTCTCAGTTTACCTGACAAGGATAGATCGCATAGGAAACTATGGGAGACAAGGGAAACCTGAGTTAAGGGCTTGGAAAGTTTTTGATATGAAGTAAGAGCTCTGTAGATCCTAACTTTCCTTGATGAGGCTGAGGTCCTACCTATTAATTTCGACTAGTCAAGAAGCTCAAAGAAACTTCAGTCTACTCTTGGCTTGCTACAGCTTATCCTATGCCCAGCTGCCGCTGGGATTCAC